ATTTTTTTTTTTTTTTTTTTTCCCTGTTCATTGTGAATTTTATCTGTTTTGCTTCATATCTGTTTAAGATTGTTATTCTATTGACAAAACCTTTTGAGACTATTAAACTCCATACACTACTTCATGCTGCTATTCTTTTTTGTTTATTTGTTGTAAAGGGTATCATAAAACAAATATTGAATGATTTTAAACTGTTGAATTTATACTTTTTCAAGTATTACTGAATCTACACCAGGTTTGTATTGTTTTTTCTACATTCTTTGACTTAATGTAAATGCAAGATCGGAAATAGATTTGATGGAGTTGAATTAAAGTTATAATCATTAAGTGTTTAGTTGTAAATGTAATTATTAGATATCTTTTTGAAATGTTAAAGAACTGCAATCAGGATTTCCATATATATATATATATATACAAGAATCTATATTCCCAGAAAAAATTTTCCCCATTTCAGATTGTTCTGCTACCAATGATTGACAGAATTCCATTTTTTCAAGAAAATGCTCTTGGAAAACAGAATTATGAAGAATTTAAAAGTTTTCAGTGTGATGAGGTTTTTTTAGCTGTTTCACAAAAGGAGCCAGATGAGGCATGCAAAAAGTTCCTTTACAGCATTGGCTTCTTTGTGTTTGGTGGAAGTATAAGTAAGTTTCTGGTATTGTTTCATGCTTGTAAAATTTTATAATTAAAAAAACAGTTTTTCAGATGTGTAAACTCTTCTGTTTATACAGACATGTTTTGGTTGGGTATTAGGTCATAAAAAATTTTTTTTAACCCTCTCCATAATTTAAATTCTTTCTGGAGGGTTATGAATTATATCTGTTTGTACACTGTAAAAGTCACTTTGACCAACGTTCTTCTCACCTTATACATTTGTTAGACTGCAAAAGTATAATTTAAATCATTGTTATCTCAAGACCTTAATTTTATTCCATTATTTCTTATGCCTGCATGGTTTGTTACTCTTTCATTTAATTGTAACAATATTTAACATTTATGTAGGTGTAGATTATCTAGTTCTATCTGAAAAAAACTTAATGAAAACAAAACTGTAATTTAAGTTGGAGACATTTCTGAACTTTATTATCTATTGTTTAATTTTTCCTGTGTGAACCATTATTAGCTAAACCTTTCATTTTTCAGCACACAACTATGACTTGATTGTTTTTAATTGGCTTTCTGCACTACAAAGAAACAAGAATTAAAGGTGGCTTTTAAAAAATGATCAATTGTAGTAACTACCTAAACTAATAGCTTTTCAATCTGATATTATCCGATGCTACAGGAAATGAATGTTCAACATAAAATCAGATTTTTTGTGTTAGTATACATTACAGTGAGCTACTCAATGTATAGATTCTGACTTCATTTTATTAGTTGTTTTTTTCTAAGAGCTCACTACTTGCAAGACTTGATTGTTCAGTTGTTCTGAGAATATATTGTTAGATTTTGATGTTCATACTTTAAAAAAATATAAATTCTTAGGAATGTACCACTATTTAATATATGTGACATAAAATAATTTCTAAAATTCAAAGATAAGAATAGTAAAAGTATTCTTTTTCTTTTCAGCAGTACTTGTGATCATAATGTTTTATTTTCATTGGTGCCTTTGAGTTGTTTTTTTAACAACATTTTTACTTTTAAGAAGTTTATAAACTTTCCAAGCTAACCTGTTTTTATTTAATATAATTCCATGTATGGTAATGTTTTTTCTTGATAATTTGTAGAGTGTGACTGCAATGTCAGTGGGTCGATGAGTGAAGAATGTGATCCTTTAGGAGGTCAGTGTCAGTGCAAGCCTAATACTGTTGGACGGCAATGTGATCGATGTGTTCCTGGTACATACGAGTTTGGCGAAAAAGGATGTAAATGTAAGTATTGTATTGGAGTTAACCATTGTCTTCTATTGAATTTGTCTTAAATGATTATATAAAAGTCAATTGGATGTTTTATCCCATGCATCATCACTATTAATAAAGTTGAATGGTTGTTCTAATAGATTTTTAATGCAATATTTTGTGAAATTTGTCTTTTAGAACATTCAGAAAGAGAACAGGGCTGTTACAATTAGTTTTATATAGAGTTCTGCTGGGATTTTTTCTACTGTATACATTTTTCATATATTATGTACAATTTTCTTAAGGAAGTTACTTTTTTCACAGAGAGATACAAGTAACATTTTAGTTTTGCTGTTTAATTGCTTTTTTTTAGCTTGTGACTGTCACACTGCTGGTTCTTTGGACAATATTTGTGACATAGAGACAGGACAGTGCCATTGCTATGGTAATATCTCTGGTCAGCAGTGTAACAAATGCCTATCTGGATTTTGGAACTACCCAAACTGTGAAGTTTGTGAGTGTAATGGTCATGCAGATTCCTGTAACTCTAAGACTGGATCATGTTTGAACTGTGACAATTTCACCACAGGTTCAAGATGTGATAGGCAAGTAGTTGGATTATTGAAGTTTAAAGCACAAGTTTAAGTTATATAAGGATATGCTAAATAGTGCAAAAGTTATCTGGAAATTTGGCCCATTCTTTTAATATTTGAGTTTATGGAAGCATGCGATTAATGTTGATTAATTTTCTTCATCCTATTCTGTGCTAATGGTAGAGTAATATTTTGAAGAAAAACCAAAGGAGGCACTTGAACTTGCTTATTTGTCCTGTTAGTTCAAGCTACTGGAAGTGGCATAATGGTGTGGGAAATGTTTTTGTGGCAGGATTTCAGTCTTTTTATTGCATTAGGTTGGTATAGAAATCTTGTGTACCTGAAAACGATTTCTGTTTATTTTTATCTTCAGTACCTCGGTGAACAAAGTTTCTCCCAAGACAATAATGCACAAATGTTGCAGTTTTATTATCCAAAATTAGTCTGAAAAGCATGACAGTTGTAAGATTAACATTGCATAACCTATCATATTTTGCCAAAATCTGTGAACTATTTACTGACTTTACTCTTTAACAAATGGACTACAATGAAGCAAGAAACCTTCTGGCATATTGCAGACTGATTGCTATGCTGTGTACTAATATACTGTCTTAGTAATGTCTTGTCAATATATTTGTTCCAGTTACAGAAACTGAAGTTTTCCAGTCAAACTAGCCATTACAAGTAACTTTTGTTGAAACATATTCATTGTATGAGCTGATCTCTTAGAATTATGAATGAACTTATAACATATGTATGCTTTAAGAAACCAAAACACATTTAAAGTAATACCAAAAAGAAATCCTAATCTGTTGACTTGAAATTGTTACTATCACTTGAAAGTTAGTATTAGAAATTATAATGAAACAGTTTTCCAGCAAATAGCAAAATGGTGACTCGATACAGCAAAGCTTGCAGACGGTCTAGATGCAGTAGCAAAATGTTTTTCACATTGTTATTATTAGGAATACTGAAGCTACAATTCTGGATTGAAATTACTGCTTAATGTATAGTAATTTAGTTTTAGTTCATATATATAGTTAAAAATATCAAAAAATCATCAGTAAAATATTTCTTTTGAACCACTGATTTGTTCAGTGTTAGAGGTAAAAGATGGCAAATAACACAGGCCTGCGATGGTTTTTATTGTCTTGAAATTTTTACATGTTCTACAGTAATTCCTGTACACTGAATCCAAAAATATCCATCTTTCTCCATCATGTACATATTTTTCACAAAATGTTGTAACACAATACATAAAAGAAATACCACAACATGTAGTTTTGAGACTAAAAGACGTAGACTTCACACACACAAAAAAAAAAAAATCGGATGAATGAGGATGCATATTCGTTTGACATCAATGTTCTTCCCTTTTCTTCAGTTTGATTGTATTTTTGTTGACAAACACAATAATAAAAATGTTTATTGTGGTAAACGAAATAATAATTTGATCTAAGTAAGTTTTTTTTTCTTGATTTATAAAAAAATCCTTACTTGATAGAAAATAAAAGAATATTATTTTCAAAATCTGTGTAGCTGAATTATGGGAAAATTCGTTATTAAAACCAAAACAAATTTTATGAAGTTTAAGTTTGCAGGCCTGTGTTATTAATAAATTAGGTAATATTAATCTTTTATAAATTTCAGACTTTTCATGTGTTAAAGTAAGTATAGTTAAGTTGACTGATTTTTATTTTTCTTAAGTGAAATTTAGATTTAAAACACATTTATTCTCACTTAAATAATGCATTTACAATGTTTAAAGACCCTAAAACCTAGTTCCTGGTGTATGATAGTTAGTATTGAGTAATGTGTTGTTTATGAAATTATGATCTTTATGTAATGGACAATGTCCATTTCATAAAGTGAAGTTTGTTTATAGTTTTATGTTGGTTACCTTTTATAAGATCAACCTTACTTTAAGATGTCTACAGAGTCAATCTTGTAGAGGTTATTTTGTGTGGTAGAAAAATGTATCTTAGCTGTTCATGAAAAGTATCTATTAATTCTAATTATTTAAGTGGCACATTTATCATTCTCATGGTTGTTGTTGTTATCAATTTTGCAGTTTTATTTTCACTAGTTTTTTTATATTATAGTGTTTTTTTTTTGTTTTTTGTGATACATAATAATGTTATAGAATAACTTTCCATTTTTGGTGATCTCTAGAGGCTTCAAGTCTCATAATTTCTACTTGTAATATTTTTGCTAAGGCAACCACATAACAGAATTTTACTTCACCAGTAAATGCTTCAATATTCCGAGTGTGTTAAAATTAACCCCATATTTTTGCAGTAAGTTTTGTTTTGTGGTTTTGTGTACTATAGGTGTGTTACAGGTTACTTTGGTGACCCTTTAATTGGAATAAACATTGCATGCCAACCTTGTCTTTGTCCTGGAACAATAGATAGTGGATTTAGTCATGCTCAAGACTGTGAGTTGGATAGGCAAAGTCAGAAACCTAACTGCCATTGTGAGGAAGGCTACAAAGGTAACATTAGTTATGTTACTATAATGAAATGCAAAAAAAAAACCTGCAAGTGTAAGACCTTATACCTAATAAAGATACAAGTAATTCTGTGGGAGTTTTAAAACAAATCTTTCACTTGCTGTATCATCATTTAAATTTATGTACATCAATTTTCTTTGATCTCAATACTATAGTGTTTTGATTAATACCAGTTTAACTAGTAAAGTTAATAGAGAAAAACGAAAATGTCAAGCTTTTAACTTGCACTGTTTCAACAGTGTTTAAAGAATATGATGAACTAGAATTTTTTGAATCAATAATGTAAAATACATTGATTGTTAATACAGTATATGTAATTGCTGAATCGCATTAAGCATTTGTTTGTGTACATGTACCTTTAAAGTTTACCTTTTGTTTTAAAATGTATCTCATTCTGTTATTGTTGTTATTGCATATATAATGAAAATGAGTTGCTACAGGTTCCAAGGGATGATTAATTTTCTATATTTTTTTGTTTATATTTTAGATAAATTACTGAACTGCCCTTCTTAAATAAGGTTTATATTCACATTTATTTTGTATATCAAAACACATGGATATAAGTTTATCCTCTTAGTTCTGTGATACCAGTCTACTCATGTCAAGGTTGATTCATTTGTTATTAACTCGACACAGATTCAAGCACACAATAAAATAGCTTCTCTGTTCTTGTGCTGAGACTACCTTCATTGAAACCTTTCTAAAAGAAGCATGGAATATGGTTATCCTTCACATAAATTTGTTTTTGTAGAAAATGGTTAATAGGAGGTTATCAACTTGTATCAGACCTGTGATAAATGAAATATTGTAACTTACATTTTTTGATACTTAGTCACATTGACCTGTATGACCGATGATTTTTCTTTTAAGTCCGACTACTTACCACCAGAAAAAATTGTTCATTGCCCATGTTTTGGCAACAGTTACTTTTTAACAAACAACTTTTATTATTTACAGCATGAGAAAGTTTATTAAAATGATAGCATCACCAAAACAATTATGTCACTTACATTTGCTTCTGTGACCATTACTGCTGTTTTTCCTTTCCTTTTCTAGTTTTCATTTTCATATATATATATATTTCTGATCCATAATATTATCTTGTTGCTACATATCTTTGTATACTCATAATGCTAACTTGACCTAAATGTTCATCCATAGTTGAGTGCTGTTTTTTGTGTGTGTCTGCAAGATACTAGTCTGCTTGCATTAAGGTTTATTTGCTTTATTTTTAACACAAACTCAAACACACAGTTTCTCTCCAATTGTACTGAGATAACCTTCACTAGGGCCTTTCTAAAAGAAGCATGGAAGATTTTTTTTTTTTGTAGAAAACTGGTATTATTTAATTGGAAGTTATCAACTATATCAGACCTGTAGCAAATGTAATATTGTACAGAAGGCAAGAATTACCCAAATATGAATAATAATTGAAGAAGAGGTTAAATCAGGACCATTTGTATTGTTGGACTTCCATACAGTCATTCATAACTATAAACTAATGACTGTATTTAAATACTATGTATTATACATTTGCTATATACTTACACCCATAACCAATATCTAGAAACTTTTGCATTAAATAGATAGATTATTAATAACTTGTGTGACTAAATTTAGTTCCAATTTTCAGTTGTTTAACTTTATAGTTAAATATTTTTTTCTATAAACCTATTGATTTTAATTTGAATAAATTTTGCAGCTTAAAAACAGTATTTTTCTTTAAATTATTTACCACAATTTATGCTTATTTTTAACTTGCTTTTTAACTTTTCTTAACTTTGTGGTAATTTAAGAAATAAATTTAGTTTTTGATTAATTTATAGCTGTAGTAGCAATTAAAGAAAGTAACATTAGTGATAATAAAAGGGTCATAACATTCAAAAATGTTTTTTATGTTTCATCAAGTAACTCCTTGAAAAATTTGTTTTTGAAGTTTTGGAAATGTTGCCTAAAAACATTACATTCAACTTAACAGGTGAAAAGTGTGAAAACTGTGCTGACAACTTTTATGGAAATTTAACGGTGGCTGGTGAAAAATGTCAGAGATGTGGATGTAATGATAACATAAACACTACTGTTCCAGGAAGTTGTGATCAGTTAACAGGAGAATGTCTTCTTTGCATTTTCAATACAGAAGGTCAAAATTGTGAGTACTGCAAAAAAGGATTTTATGGAAATGCTACCCAGCATAACTGTCAAGGTAAATGTGTTATGATTGTACTAGAATTCTTTAACTTATGATATCCAATTCCATAATATTAGAGACTGAAAAAACATTATTAATCTATTAAAGTTCAATGTATTCATTGTTTAGTTCTTTGAAATGCAGTCTTTATAGTGATAATGAAAGGATAATACTTGCTAGTCTGTACGACTAGTTTAAATGCTCTTTATAATGGCTATAAAATTGAGTAAATACCCTTATTTTGAAAATCCTTAGTATTACCACCAACTGTACTTAGTGCATGACTTCTAGTATTAATATGTACACTGAGTGGTCACAAGTAAATAGACACCACCTTTTCAGAAAA